AGCAAGATTGAGTCCAATCTTCAAAATCCAGTTAAGACAAGAAATCCGATCAACAAAGACTTCTAAGTCGCACAACTTTTCTCTCAATTTTGGCAAAAGAAAGATAATGGAGGCTAAGACCCTCCTTATATACTTTTTCCCAAATAAGAAAGTCGACATGCAACCTTCACATGCATGCATACATCCCTAACTATATGCATATTCACATAACCTCCCATGTATGCATTTTATATTATACATACATCCATTCATACCATCATATATCCATGTATACATTCATGCCCACATGCACATATTTATACATGCATTCATATGCATACATGCATAATTAATGTATATTAATATCCACATATCTACTGCATACTCATTTATGCACATAACTTTCACATACTAGCATGATTAATATAACAATTTATCATGTTGTCACATTTAACAATTTATATTACATCAATTACCTTGAGTGATAATCAAGATCCAGTTATCACCTTTATACACATGTCGACTAATCTTATTAAGGGGTCGTTTACCACACACTTACCCAATTAGCACTCATCGGTAAAATTCAACACTATCGTTTACTAACCAGGTAAGATTCTAGTTGATAAAAACAAATTTATATGCAATAATTTATCCGGTAAGTGTAAGAGTCATTGCCCTCACTAACCGGGTAAGACCCTCGGTTCTTGCCTCGCTCTTACCGGGTAAGATTCTTGGTCCTTACCTTATTTATCCGGTAAAGTAATGTAACTTGGTAAGCGGCCCCTAAATCTTAAAAATATCAGTCGAGAATATTGAAAAGAAATATGACTTGTCCAATATTAAGAGAGTGATTGCATTTTTCGGGTCAAAACTGAGCGATAGAAATGTTGGGTCGAACTTGAAACAGAAAAAATTCAAGTCATTTTTTACGGTGTACACTAGTTGAATTAATGAAACTTGCAATCGTTATACACAGCCATATATATATATATATATATATATATATATAAAGAGGATTGTCCCCCTATACATGATGAATGAAATACAAGGGTTATGGTGAAAACGTGAGAACAAAACCTTCATATACCATAAACTACCTTTATTTACCTATTTTTATTATCATGGCCGAAATTTTAACAAACTCATTCATATGAAAATGATTAAATGTATGTAAAGTTGGTGAAAAGGAAGATGAAGTTAGATCAACACACCATTCTCACAAAACAATGATTATCACAAAACTGTTTGAAATACAAATAGTGTTGATAACTGTAACAGTTGGAATGTGATGAAGTATAAAACAATGCTCCTTACATACCATAATCGACACAAGTACCAGAAACCCGAATCATTATATAAAATAAATACCCTTCCAACATCATCATCGTTCAATTCTAATATTCATACAACCATTTCCACAATGAAAGAATAAGAACCTCTGTGATATGGGTGCATATATAAACAGTGTAAACCATAATTACATAATAAACAGGAAGATAAATATGTGATGAATCAAACCCAAAAACTGCACACTTTTAATCAACCACTCACTGCTCCTGCTATCTCAAACATTCAATCTTTGGTCATGATTTTAACTCTTCACTGCATTTTACACACAATTAGATGAATATATATACATACATACACACACACACACACACACATACACACACATATATATATATATAGAGAGAGAGAGGGAGAGAGAGAGAGATTCGGGAGAAAACCCCCAAAAAAATGAAAAACTGAGGAACACCCTGGTAACCATTCATCTGGACGGTATGCACATGACAAGTTGCTTGCAAATTACTATAGAGAGAGACAGAGAAGTTATAGGGAAATCTCCAAAAAATGGAAAATTGAAAACACCAATAACCGTTCATATGTATGATATGCACATGTGCATACAAGTACCCAAGGATGTTTCTTGGTTTCCATGCATGTGTGCACACAGAAAAATTACTTACAAATTACTTGTATGCACATGTGCATACAAGTATAGATGAATGGTTACTAGGGTGTTCCTCATATTTTCATTTTTTTATGGTTTTCCAACTTGACCCTATATATATACAAAAATGTCAAACTGAAGAATGTTAGCGCACAATCGATCGACCATGCAGGTGGTACATGCACACTGAATATTTCCATGAATAGCAATTGAAAACTCAAGCCCATGTCTTTTATTTGGTAGCTTGTGTGCACCTCATGTATCCATAGATGAATCATACTAGAACCACATTGACCTTCGTTATGAAAGAATAATCTAAAATTGGAAGTACATTCAAAAGTTTCCACCCCATGATTAAGACTCATATTCAAAGAAAAATCCAAGTCCTCGAAACAGGCAATGGAAAATAATATTTCAATCTCTATGCTCAAGGAATCATTCATGTCAGTTCTTGTGTTAATACTCGATAAAATGGAGGAGTAGCGGAAGGAAAATTATATATTACCTAACATTTCTAGATCCATTTTGTTTTCAAATCATATGCCTAAACAGTTTTGCGGGAAACATTACTCATGGCTACATATCTCGTCAATCGTGTGCCTAGTAGTGCAACAGTTTCAAACAAATACAGTACCTTCTTCAAGCATTCCCTCATGTCAAATCCTTCTCCTATGATCTACCTCTAAAATTGCTCATATCCATAATCGGTACCAAAGTAAGCTCGATCCCAAATCTCACGAATTATTTTCACTGGACATTCAACTACAAGAAAAGGCATACAAATGCCCAACCACAAAAAAGATCATCACTCCCCGGACATCACCTTTTTTATTGCTAGTTGATCTATCCAAAACGTCATTCAGGAGAGCTACAAGGGAGTATTAGTTTTGGAATTAGTTACAGGATCATCAAGCTAGTTTTACTCCTTGCAATATCATTACACCCAAGTCCCACCATATCACCTCCTAAACCTACATCTTCAACTCATGACCATGAGAATATTCAATCATTTAAAATCCACGATCCTTAAAAAAATTGTGATAATCCACCTCAAATACACGAACCTAATCCACCTCAAATGCCCGTCTAATCTGCCTCAGAAACAACTTGAAAGAACTCAATGTTTATAGAAGGAAAAGAAATGGGAATGTGAATAGCAACACACAAATTAGGGACTCTCAAGCCAGTGAACAGAGTCCTCCTAACCACAAGGGTTGTGGCATAGTGTTTGAAGCCCTGGGGGATGTGATGGAATATTCCATTTCTCTAGGGTTCGATTCCAGGCGTTCACAACAATTGTGGCCACTGAGTTTATCAGGGCTAATTTCTTGCTGGCACAATTTGCCAGGATTAGTCTAGGCATAGCCTGGACACCCTTCCAAAAAACAGAGTCCTCTTCCTGAAAATGCTGAAGGTAAGGATCCTAACACTTATAAGATGGTAATTCCAGTTTGATGATCTTGATCAAGAATAGATGTCTACAAGTTCAAAAAAAAATTGCAAAGAATACATTGTCCAAAAAGGAAAAATGAACGGTAACAGTTAAAAAGAAAAAGACAAAGGTTGCCAATATCTGAAACAAAGAATACCCAGTAATGGCATTTAAAAAATATAGACAGCAAATATTGTCATACTATTAACAACGCATAAAAGACAGCCCAAAAAACTACCAGCTATATAGCTGAAGTACAGAACAGTATTAAATTATTAATGTGCAACAGTCTTGACCAATATTTTTTTACATGTACAGCAAGGATAATCCTAAACCCATGCTAATTAGTCTCTCACTGAGTGAAGGCCTCATTGAGTGAAGGCCTATTTTTTTACGTGTACTGCAAGGATAATCCTAAACCCATGCTAATTAGTCTCTCATTGAGTGAAGGCCTAAAGAATGCAGCACATTACAGTTGTGGTTGTGTTTGATAACATTAAAGAAGTGCACATAGGCCTAAAATGTGATTTTCTATCTTGAGAAGTTTGAACATCAATTCTAGCGTTTCATCTTTTTTACCAACCTGATTTGAACCTCTAATGTAAATATTGACAAAACTTAGCTAGTATCGATTACCTTTTTTTTATTGTTTACATTATCTTCATCGTCATCCTCATCTTCTTCAGCATCCTCATCATCTTCATCAGCATCCTCATCATCCTCATCATCTTCAATCTCATATTCATCGTTCTGGGCAGCCTCCCCAGTGAACCAAGAGACAGCATGAGGAATGATTTTGTCTCGAATGGTTGACCTGGAATTCACACATTTATTAACAACATTTAAATATCTATCCAACATGTGAGATGTAGAAGTTTGACAAAATTAAGACATGATATTGCTTGATTCCATCTCAAATGTATGGAACATACAATTTGTTTTCTACATCTCAAGAAATCAGTATAACTAACTCCCAAGGGAAGCTACTTTGTATAGTTAGAAAGAAAAATTAAAATAACTTTTGTTTCCACGTAAGTTAACTGATCTGTAGTTTGTTTCTGGCAAATAAAAATGCATATCTTCTCTGAATTTGTCATTTTAAGCTCTTTTAGTTATAGAGTGCACAAGCGAAGTACCTACCCAATGTCATAATCGTGTTCCATTTGACTCTGAAGCAATTCAGCCTGTTAAACAGAATGGAAGCGAAGCAGAATAAACAGAGAAGTAAAATGATGGGTAGGCCACTTGGCATATTATGATGTTAGAACAAGCAAAAGAGTAATGGTAAAATGGGAAGGTCAACTCTTAAATTGCCCAATAAGAGAGAGAGAGAGAGAGAGAGAGAAAGGCAGGTCTTACTTATTTGATTTGTTTTTTTCACTGGGGGAGGGGGCATGATCTTGCAATGAGAAGATTGGACAAGTAAACGACAGATGAAAACAAATAATGGCCCATATCCAGAAGTAAATAAACTTTGGCTTTTGAGGCCAAATGGCTTCCCAACTTTAAAAATTGATAGGAATTCTTGAAGGCATAATTTCCATAGTATCCATTCAGTTGCTTTTCCCATGAAAAATCAATGTTCAACGTATAAATAGAAAATGTGATAGTTGATATTATCGTTCAGCCAATTAAATATTCTACAAATTCTGAAACTATTTGATGGCTACAATGACCTTTTCTAAATAAATATATAAAGTTGATGATGTTAAGTGAGCAAGAAGGAAAAAAGCATATCACTTTGAAGCTGATACTTTGGCATTAAAACTCAAAGTACAACTGATATGACAACATAACTGGAACCAAAAACCTGAAACAAACAATCAACCAACTAACCCATGTCCTAGCCATCAAAAGCAGGCCACAAAAGACTGAAAGTGAATGTTATTTTTGTTTGGAAGCAGGTGGGACAGGATAGAGGTATAAAACCATGTTCCGACAATGATTTGTGATTTCAATGTAGCTAATAGTGTTGAACTTACTATATCCTCGTCAATATCCTCTTCATCATCAGGGATTTGAGGCGGGTTAAAAAAGTTGAAAAAACTTTCACAATCCTCTGTTTTCGTAATTGGTGGCTTGGGGCTTCTTGAGCCCTTCTTAGGTTTCTTCCTCAGAACCTTCTGGGTCAAATTTTTCCCCGGAAACCATTCGATCACCGTCCTATAATTTTTCCATGATAAATCAGATGTGAGACAAGGATAATGAAGCAAAAACTTGGGAATGACAACTAAAACCAACGATGAAGAGATACAAATTTCCAAAAAGTTAGGATTAAAAAGTAGCACATAATACCCAATTGCTTTTTCTAAGATATGTTCCTCCTCATTAATCATCTCATATGTTTTCGTCAGCACAGAGTTCTTAAAGTAAGGATTAGGATCAAAGAAGAGTTCAAGCTTAAAACCCTTGGCACCAGTGACTCTACACCACTTAACATCTTTGAGGTACTGGAGAGCCCCTTCATCAGACTCAGAAATCTATTTGGGAAAAAAAGATAGTAATCAGTAAATATATGAGACATGAAAAAATGTGTGGAAAAGTTTGTCGCTTATTCAATCACCTCATCAGCTAGCACTTCATTGGACTTCATTGCAGTCAGCCAAAAATTTGGCACGCCTTTATCTGTGTATCACCAGTGATTTCATGCTTAGATGCTTGTCAAACAGAAGTACAGGAGAATAAACTTCGTTTAAAAAACTACCTCCTGCCAATTCATTGTTCTCCTTATCCACTAAAGTATCTTTCAATACTCCTTCAACTTCAGTCAGACCATTCACTATTTCATATCTCTGCAAGTAATGAAGGGCATGAAGCAGAATTATCAACCAAAGAAAACCTGTCACCATAATGGAGAAATAGAGCTAGAGCTGCATTTTTGAGTTTGGGCAACCAAATGGGTTTATCATGTTCAAATTGTTGTGGATTCTAATTTGATTGAACTTGTCTACGATAAAACTTTGAACCTTATATCAAATTAATAAACACTGGTTATAAACAAATTTGTATCTATTTGGTGTTTGACGTCAAAAGGTCCAAATGTAGATCATTCAAGGGATGAAGTATTATGCATATGGCCACATGCGATCTTATCAAAAGCTTATAAAGTCATTCCCAAACCCAAAACAAATAATAATAATGATTATGGACACCTTAGCATATAACGGCTCGTACAACTTCAGATACTTTGCTTCCAATTCTGCTCTCTCTTCAATATACTTGGCCTCCAGCTCATCATGTTGATTCTATATGAAAGAAGTGTTAGAAGAATGCATTATTCTCAACTAACTAGACTGGAACAAAGTTTTTATTTTGATGCATTTGTTTAAGTATGTCTGAAGCATTTCAAATCAAACCAATTTCTCACTTTTAGTTGGAAAAAAATATTAATAAATAAGTGAACTAACACACAATCTCCAGACAACCCACTTATTACAGCTCCACTTTACAATGGAAAGGGTGATTCAAACTTCAACATGCTCCAGGGACTACCCATATATGAGTCTATGATTTTTCTTTATATGTATGGTAGCAAGGTGCCTATTTTCTCAACATCTTTTTGTCAAAATGTACATATTGTAGATCAGGAGGAATCCCTATAATAATGGAATATAGTTTCTATAATTATGGGATATTGTTACCTTCTTTATCATTATCTTTTCCTTGATTTCCTTGATTTAGTTTCCCTTTATCTCTTGTAAATACCTTACATATAGGGCCTTGTATAATCTAAGGATGGAGAGAAATATCATTATTCAATTCATCTTTCTTGTCATGGTATCAGAGCTTTAGGTTTCTCTCAGAAATCTAAAACCCTTGTTCTATTTTATTTCAGCCTTAATTGCTCTTCTCAGTGTGCAATCTTCATTGTTGCAAGTGTTCCTGATCGAACAGCCTTAATTGTTGTATTTCCTTTGATTGAACGACCATTCTGTCAACTCATGGACTTTTTGGGTTCTCTAGAAAATTCATCAGGAACTTGCTCTTTAACTCTTTCAAGTAAACCACCTTTCCCTTTTTGTCTAAATGCCTCGAGTAATAACCTTGTCAACTCATGGATAATAGATTCTGGTGCCACTGATCATATGGCACTTTCTTCCAATTTTTTTCATAATTACATCCCATGCCCTAGCAACCGAAAGATTACAGTAGCCAATGGCTCATTAGCAACTGTTGCAGGCTTTGGAGATATACATGTCCTACCCAACCTTGTCTTAAAAAATGTCTTACATGTACCAAAACTGTTAACGAGCCTTGCCTCAATCCAAAAACTCACCCATGATCTTAAATGTAGTGCTATTTTTTCCTCTTCATATTGTGCTTTTCAGGAAAAAGACTCGAGGAAGAGGATTGGACTTGCTAAGAAAAGAAATGGCCTTTATCATCTTGAATCTTCCCAGAAAAGCAACGTTCCACCTTCATCCTTTCTCAGTTCATCTAATAAAGACACAATTTGGTTGTATCACCTACGTCTAGGTCACCCATCCTTTAGAGTTTTAAATGTCATGTTTCCTCATCTATTTCAAGGATTAGATATTTATGAGTTTCATTGTGATATTTGCGAATTGACCAAACATACTCATATTTCTTTTCCTATGAGTAATAAAAGGGGCTCTCTTCCATTCCAGCTAATTCATAGTGACATATGGGAACCTTCTAACATACCTAATGTGTTTGGGGCTCGTTGGTTTGTATCCCTAATTGATGATTGCACTCAGGTTACATGGCTCTTCCTCCTTAAACACAAATTTGAAGTTAGCACTGTTATACCTAACTTCTACTCAATGATTCAAAACCAGTTTGGGGTCAAAATAAAGAGTTTTAGGACTGACAATGCCAAGGACTATTTCAACCAAATTGTATCACCCTACTTTCAATCACAAGGCATTATCCATGATTCTTCATTTGTTAACACAACCCAACAAAATGGGGTAGCTGAAAGGAAAAATGGTCATTCCTAAATCCTATTTTGGGGGGGGGGGGGGGAATTGTCCTTACTTCCACACACATGATAAACAGGCTTCCTTCATGTACATTGGAAAATACAACTCCCATGGAACTTCTTAATGACTCTACCCTCACTTCAGAACATCAAATGGTCTCACACCCAAGATTTTTGGGTGCACTGCCTTTGTTCACATCCACAACCAACATAGAAGCAAGCTAGACCCTCGAGCCATTAAGTGTGTCTTCCTTGGTTACTCATCCACTCAAAAAGGGTACTATGATCCCTCATCCCACAGATTTTACATCTCTGTTTATGTCACTTCCACATAAAACAAACCTTTTTTCTCCAAGTCCTCTCTTCAGGGGGAGAACTCAATGATAGAAAATACTCCTTGGGAAACTTTTGAACCATTTAAAAAACTTGACCTCCTAACTCGTAGTATCACTTGACCTCCTAACTCGTAGTATCGACTCCACATCAGAGTCTGTAGAGGAGGAACAAGTCGTATCTGAGTCATCCACCCCTCTAAATGAATCGGAACCATCCAATGAGCCAGATAAACCTGATTAACCCAAGTAAGGTTGATGTCTCCAACAATTCTCCAAATCCTCCTCAAGTGTATACAAGAAGAAAGGTCGTTCCTACGCCAACGCAAGTCCAAAACTACGACTCAAGTCTTGGGAATGAGAACACGGTAAGAGTTGACCCACCTTTACACACACAACATGCTTCCACTGATACCGAAGATTATCTACCCATTGCCAAGAGAAAAGGTACCGGAGAATGCTCTAAACGACCATTGTATCCATTATCTCACTGTCTCTCTTGAACACCTATCCCCAACCCACAAAAGGTTCATTATGAGTCTAAATACCATTTCTATCCCTACCCATGTTTATGAGGCATTATCAAAAAGGGAATGGAGGGATGCTATGAAGGAGGAAATGAGTGCATTAGAGAAGAATGAAACATGGAAGATTGTTGACAAGCCGAAAGGAAAAAACATTGTTGATTGTAAATGGATCTTTACAACAAAATACAATGCTGATGGATCCCTTGAGAGATATAAGGCAAGGTTAATGGCCAAAGGATACACACAAACTTATGGGGCTGATTACCTAGAGACATTTGCTCCTATTGCAAAGATGAACACCGTAAGAATTCTATTATCATTAGCTGCTAACCTAGGCTGGAAACTTTTGCAGTATGATGTAAAGAATGCCTTTCTTCATGGAGATTTAAATGAAGAAATATACATGAGTATTCTCCCAGGTTTCAATGCTGACACGGGTAATAAAGTGTGCAAGCTAAGAAAAGCACTCTACGAATTGAAACAATCTCCTAGGGCATGGTTTGGGAGATTTGCAAAAGTCATGAAGGAGTCTGGGTATAAACAAAGTCAAGGGGATCATACTCATACCCTCTTCATTAAGCACTCGTCCACAAGGGGAGTAACTGCTCTCCTTGTCTATATGGATGGCATCATAGTTGCAAGAAATGAAGAGAGGGAAAAGATGGAACTAAAGGAAAGGTTGATGAAAGAATTTGAGATAAAAGAATTAGGAAGACTTAAATACTTCCAAACCACAAGGGTGGTGCGTGATTGGTTTGAGCTTGGCTTCAAAGGTCAAAAGTACCAAGAGGTCCTAGGTTCAAATCCAAGGAGGAATAAAAATTCCCTTGTGGCCACGGAGGTTCAAATGCGGTGACTCCGAGCTATCTGCAAAGCAGGTGGTCGCCCTGGGATTAGTCAGCTCGCATAGCGGGTTGGATATCCAGGTTAATCAAGAAAAAAAAGACTTAAATACTTCCTAGGAATTGAGGTGGCATACTCCAAGCAAGGGATCTTCATATCTCAACCGAAGTATGTGATGGATTTATTGATAGAAACAGGAAAGAGTGGGTTAAGCCAGTATCTACACCAATTGACCACCGACAGTTGACAAGAGAATGTACCAGGTTGGCAAATTGATATATCTTGCTCACACTCGGCCAGACATAGCTTACTCGGTGAGTGTAATTAGTCAGTTCATGCATGATCCAAGAGAACCTCATCTTCAAGCAGCTCTACAGGGAACTACATTACTTGAAAGGTAATCCAAGGAAGGGCATTCTATTTAAGAAGAATGAAACTCTTACTCTTGAAGCGTACACCAATGTTGATTGCGCTGGTTCTAAATTGGATTATAGATTGACCTCAGGATATTGCATTTTCCTTGGAGGTAATCTGGTGGCAAGGTCTTCTGCAAAATCCGAGTTTAGGGCCATTTCTCATGGATTATCGGAGTTATTATGGTTGAAAATTATTATAAATGATTTACAAATAAAATAGGAAGGTCCTATGAAGCTCTATTGCCACAAGAAGTCTACTACCAATATTGCTCATAATCCCGTTCAACATGATAGGACAAAGCATATTGAAATAGATCGGCATTTCATTAAAGAGAAACTGGAAGGAGGATTAGTGTGCATATGCTTTGTGCCCTCAAAGAGTCAACTAGCTGATGTTCTAACAAAAGGCCTAAACTGTTCTAAGTTTTCATGGTCTTATTTCCAACATGGGAATGGAAGACATCTATTCCTCAGCTTGAGGGGGAGCGTCGAAATGTACATATTATAGATTAGGAGGAACCCCTATAATTATGGAATATAGTTTCTATAATTATGGGATATTGTTACCTTCTTTATCATTATCTACTCTGTATCTTTTCCTTGATTTCCTTGATTTAGTTTCCCTTTATCTCTTGTAAATACCCTATATATAGGGCCTTGTATAATCAAAGGATAAAGAGAAATATCATTATTCAATTCATCTTTCTTGTCAATTATTCAATTGCTAAACTTTTATATAACAGTTTTCAATAAATAGATATGCAAAAAAAAATTCCCTTGCCTTGCTACCGTATAAATAGACCCACCACTCTAGAAAGGATATGATGGATAAATACTAATAAACTTGTAGGATAGTGTCTGTAGCCATTCAATTATAACAAAGGTAAACTAGACCCTCAAATCATGCATGATTACTACGTACATAGTCTGATGCCATATATCTACAGGTTTGAGTTAACCAACAGCATTCCAAGAGTTGGCATAAGGGATATTTTCTAAGCTGAATCCACACTGAATGTTTGTCATGTCTAATTGAATAAAATGACCTGTAGGAGAAAAAATGCAATCCAGATATCTTGGACAAACTATGCCAATGTGATATTATTCGTTCAATTCCATCCAAAATACTTTATTACATAAAATGTACCAGAAAAGAAAACAGGATTCAAAGTCCAACAAAAATTGCGAGACATAAATGCATGCACAATATACTATTAAGATAAAATAAAAAGGTAATCCATAGAAATCAAAATATTGAAGGAAATTTATGTTCTTCCGTTTTAGCTGGTGTGAGCCCACTAGAGGTTGTCGCTTCAATTCCTAACGGGGGGATATTAAAAACATGTTTAGATCCCCTTCTTTTACTGACAGAAAAAGAATGTGTACATTATGATGTACAAAATCATTATAGATAATTGCATTTCTGCTATCACTCAAGACAGTGCCCCAACAGAAAATCAAAATGGGATTACAAAGGTATGCAAATAAACAAATTGAAGCGTAAGTTATGGATGTGAACTCAAAACAGAGAACTATTCTCAAACCAAGCAATTAAAATGAGTGCAATAAAAACACAGAATAAAGTCAAAACCTGAAGATCTTTAAGAACACCAACACGTTGCCTAGCATTAGCTGAAAGAGTGTCTAAGAAATCAGGATGTTGTCCAGTCAAATCATCAAGCTTACTCTGTGCAAAAGAACAAATCAGACATTAAGAAACGTATGGACACATAATAAACACATACATCCATCCAAGCAAAACAAAATTTTAAAACCGAAAAGAGTTAAGTCTATCATCTGATCAATCTGATAAACAACCTTCAGGGCATTAACTAGACCAGCACGATCCTCAGCAGAAAGAGCTACAAAACAAACAACACAAGTATCAAAATCAGCATCTATAAAAACGCACAGAAAAGAGGATTAAGAAGTACCTGCAGTAGCAGCGGGGAGAGTAGAGCTAAGATCGGTCATATTGAATTGATCTTCTTGATTAGCACTCATCGGAATCGATCTTAACTGAATTCGATAAAAAAATAAATGAAGGAAGAAGAAAGAACAACCTAAAACCCTAAATAAATACAGAGAAGTTGGGGGCAGAAGATGGCCGTAATGAATGAACTGGCGAAGTACCCTTTCTCTGCTGTACTGTTCTTTTCTTTGCTGGAAGAACGGTAAGAGAGAGAGAGAAGGGTTTTATTTTTGACCGGGTTTTTAACCCCACCCCCCTCCTATTTTTTTTTTCCCTACATTTTCTATACCCAACCTATATAATATAATAAAATAATTAAAATTTATTTATTTTAGGGTTTTTTTAACTCCATTCCCTCCTATAGATGCATGTGAAGGGGATGTGATTATGTATGGAGGTGAGTATGTGAGGGTGAGAGTGAGAAAAAAGTTATAAAGGTGTGAGTAAGGGTTGATATGAGAAGGAGGGGATGAAAAGTGATGTAAAGGGGTGGGGATATCAACCCCTTATTTTATCTTTTAATTTTAACTTTTTAATATTTTTAGTTTTCACCTTTCAATTTTTTAAATACTTTTTTTATTATACCCCTAAGTTTTTTATCTATACTATAATTACATATATTAATTAATTATATATTATTATTAATTAA